AGACCTTTTTGCAAGACCAGCATATGTGATAGGCAGATCTGTACTTCGGTGAAGTAGCATCTGGAGACCGTGTAGGCCTTCGACCATGGCAATGCTTCCCTCCCATTGTCAATCCAGGTTTCTTTCTTTTTAAGCCCTGCTAGTTTGAGTCCAAGGGACTCGTTTTATTTGCCAAATAGAGGAGAACTACGCAGAAATTCATCAGCATTATCTGGCAACAAGTGATAAAAAAAGTCTACAAAACCCACAAAGGGTTTTTTTTTTAAAAAATGAACAAACGAAAAACAAACTGGCAGAAAAATTACATCTCAAAAAACAAAAAGGCACAACAGAAACATAGTATCTGTATAAGGAGGGAACTAAAATAAATATTTAAAATAGTTATTGAAAAGCATCATCAAACTATCCTTGATTCTCAGCACTCCTGAAATCTTCCAGTCTATCTCTCTGTTTTACATCTTTGAATTGAAGCCCAGATTGTATGTCCTGAGATGAAGAGATGCACAGCTGAAGGTCAAGCAAGCCATCTTGCTCCTATCTTCATTGCGAAGTGGATCCTTTTCAGATGGAATTAACGAACAGACATGCTTCACAATCTGGTCCAGACTGGCTAGAAGTAAAAACCCTGCAGCACACACTGCGTAGACATCCTGTTCTCCATATCAGCTGCTTTCCTTTACGGAACTGCACCCATTGTACTGCTTGTCAGTGTAAATGCAGCTTATTTGTGCTTCATGGTTTCCCAGTTTCCAATGCTTTGGGCAGTGAGGCTGGGATTTGCTAGGTATCATAGAATGGTTGAGGTTGGAAGGGAACTATAGGAGTCAATTTGGTCCAACCAAACAAGGCCACCCAGAGCCATTTGACACCTGGGGCCATCCGTCTTCTCTGCTAACATTAGGTGCTGGGGACTTATGTAATTTATATCTTCTTGGGGCTTGTCTTCTTGTAAGCCAGAGTTGCAGTGTGTGTTTCTGTTCCAGGAGAGACTACTTGAGCTGTGTGGTCACTCAACTCCCACAGGTGATCTCCTAAAAGCTACCCACTTCCTCTCCTGACTCCTGTCCACACATGCCTTAACATTCATGTGCTGTCCTACCTCCCAAATAGTCCCAGCAAATGCCTGGAACTTAATTATTTTCCAAGTATGTAGAAGAGGGAAAAGGTGTGTTGGGAGTGGGGAGGGGATGTTCATAAAGTTATGAATGATATTTCATGGCACATCTACTCATCCACTCTATTGAGCTTCCTAGTATCATGAAGACCCAAGCCAGTGAATTATGGTAGGCAATGCATCACCGTGAGGACTGTATTGAGTCCAGAATCAGTATAGCTGTGCTCAAGCACAGTCCATGCAAATACACTTATACTGCTTGCAGATCCAAACTGGTTTATGGGCAGCTGTCCCAATTTCCTAGAAGTGTCTCATCCTTATGTTCCAGCTCTTGGGAGAAGTAAATGTTGCCAGGTAGAAAGTCTGTGCATCTTTTAAGCTGCAGTTCTCAAGTTCAGGTGCAAAGGTTTAACTGCACACTGACACACAATCCATGCTGCATATCTGTGCAGAAGTTCATTAAAAATGTTTCCTATTCAGGTGGATTTATCTTTGTGCTTTTCTTAATTGAATTGTCCTCCAAATCACATTCAGTCGTCCTTAATGTTTATAGAAAGGTGGGAAACAGATATGTACAAAGGGAGTAGCTATAGCCCAAGAGAGTTCTTTCAAACACAAGATGTTAAACTGCTTTTTGATCAGCTGCTTGTAGAAACGTACATTAACTGTAAACCATGGTTCTTCTTGTAACCAGCTAATGATCCTATCAGTCACAGACTAATTGCCTCAACCTCGTTCTAAATTCTGCTGCATTGAAAAAGCCAAAGTCACATTCTGATCCTGTTAATCACATTCAGCTTTGAAGAGTACATAGTGGTTGTGTGTTAATTCAACTTCTCTCCCTGGTAATTTGTTTGATTGCCTGTTACTTGCAATCTGCACTAACTGAATAAATGTGTTCTGCATCCTGATGGGAAGTTATGATTTGGTTTGATATTTTAATGCAGGTGTTTTGCCTAGAAATTGGGGTAAATTCTTCTCACCTTTCTGCTCTGAAGTACCTTTAATAGGAAGAATCACAAGTAAGCGTGTTAACCCTTTGCAGAAGGTAATAAAGAAACAAAGTAAACATTATGTGTCATTACTGCTGGGTTAATAGCAATCTTTATTGCCTGAAGGCTTCTCATCAGCTTATACATAAATAAGAAAATAAGATACTAAATTATGAGAAGGAGATGCTGGTGTTATATCTTTTTATTCTTTTCCTTCATCTCCAGCAGTATGTATTGTCTCTATTGTCAAGTCCTAGAACACAGTCTGTCTATTCATGACTTCTTCTTTTTTCATGTGTTTAAATATAATACAAACACACACACATACTCTACACAGCTCTACATAAGTCTTTCAGAAAAAGACTGAACATATGCCAAATTACTTTTCAGCTTCCCACATAATTTTTTTTGCAGAAGAGTACAAGGCCAGTGGATATGTCCTAGAAGCACAAAACAATTCTTAATAGGACATTTTTATTAACACTGGATCTATGTGATAATAAAGATTTATTGTGATTTTACCTTTGAAATCCCCTGAATCTTAATGAGAATTTTTTCTCCCTGTTCTGAATTTCAGTGAGAAATATTGCGAATGTCATGGTCATGTTAAATATTTGTGAAATCCTTTCAGATTCCTCTTAACATTTTAAAAATAAACAACTTCTTTTATGGAGGTATTTTTTTCAAGTTAACAGGAGACATATTAACTTTCAGTACAAGAAGCATTCTCTGCTAAAAAGAGGTTGCACTTGGAAAATGCTAATGTTAAAATGATTTATAAAGAGAATCTAAAGTTGACTCTGAAATGTTTAGTTCAAATGCTGCCTCAGACTGTGGACCAATTAATGATTCCTTACTAGCCTTTTTGAAACACATACTATTCATTTAGACTCCAAAATATTTGGAAGCAAGGTCTGGAGACTTGGTGTTTGTTAATTCATGAGACACTTTTACTAATTAGCAGTGTTCATTTCCCAGAGGCCCACTTAGGCTATGGAAACAAGGCCTCCTGCACACCTTATAGAAGAAATAAGTCCCTTCAAGCAGTCCATGAAAGCACCCAAAGCAGGCTCCTGCTCTGAGTGATTGTTAATTGAGTCCCTCTCTTCATTGACCAAAGAGAAACCAAAACCAGTTTTACCCTGAAGGGATACTTAACTCATATTCTGGAGTGCTCCTCTGATGAACATTGCTGCTGTCAGATGGCAATAAATTAGTTCATTCTGGTAGAACCATACTCTTGGACCATCTGCAGACAATGACGTTTTCCACTTACTGTCATAGTATCTCAATATTGAAGCGTTTAGATTATTCCTTTTCTTAAAAGGATTTACTACTCATTATTTTCTACCTGTCTTCAGATGTTGGGGCAGGGGTCTCCAGCCTTCCTTGTCTGATTTGTCTACAGAGTTATTTTTCCTCTTCTCTTACAAATGAACTCTTAGCTATTCTGTGTTTTCTTCTTCATTGCGTCCAAACTGTAGTGTTCATCTTTCGAAGGCATCAGCTTGAACTAGCTGACTTCTTATGCTTGTTTATTTTTCCTTCTTATGATTAATTTCTTATGCTGTGTATCATATCTGTGCTTCGGTCTTGCCCGACATTCCAGTCAAAATCTTGTTTGCTCAGGGGTGCCTCAGCTTCCAAAACCACAAGGCTGGATCTTCAGCATTTGATCGGCCAGAGATTCTTTATTTCTTCACCTTCTCTTTTTAATTTTTTGCTGTAAAAACATATCACTCATCTTCTCATGGAGTTCAGCACTCCTCTCATTTTACTGTAATATTTTTACTGTTAGTCTCTCTTGCCTGATTTAACGGACAATATTAAAAATGCCGACTGCTTCACAGCCATTTACTGTTTGAAATAAATCTACCTTTTTTCTTTTTTTTCTACTGGCTTGCCGCATTGCTGGAGGAAACAGAATGATGCCTCAGTTTTACCTTCACATTTTAAGAAAATGTCAATTTTTATAGGGAATTCAACTCCTCCATTCTTCCTCTAAAAATACGTTATTAGGTCAATTTACTTCTGTTATTATATACTGTTCCTTGATCATTTTAATCCAAGGCATCTGGCCCAAATCTGTTATACTCAGTGTTGGGGTCTGGTTCAAAAGAACTGATCACAGATATGCTGACCCATGTGAAAGCCACTTGAAAGCTCAGACTTTATTAGGCTTTAAAATTCCTGCCTTGCATTTTTAAAAGTCTTGTGCTAAGATTATAAAATAAAGAACCTCCCCCTCCCCCCAAAAAAAAAAAATCAAGGAATGAAGAAGTCAGAGCTTTAGAGGTAGAAAAAAAAAAAAAGGCTTAGAGAGGAAAAGTTCAGCAGAAAAAAGAAGTGTGATAGCAAATGTTTTAAAAGACTTGGTAAAGCACAGACTCTGCTGCTGCAGAGGAATGGAAAGGCACTTGGGAATGAACCTCAGGCATATTGTATTCTGATTATTGGGAGCACATGGGAACGCTTTCTGGCTACAAATTATTTGCCGCGGAGACTAATGTTTTGTTGGAACCGAGTATGGCACCTAGCACAATGGAAGAGATGAGGCCTGTTGTGCCTTTAGGGAGTATAAACGGTGACAAACAGAAAGCAAAAGTGAATTGACTTGGAGCTGGGAGAAGGAAAGTTACTGTCTGTGGTTTCAGCATGGGGCGGGCACATTTGCACATCAGTGCAAAGCCACCTCTTGGACTGTGTCCTTTCTCACCATGTACTAAAGGTCATTTTAACAACCCTGTGGTTTCCTGCCTGCATCCAAGAACTGTCTGTGATCCATGTGTGACATGCTGCACCGTTTTGCTTTGGTGTGGTGTAATGTCAGACTGCAAACAGAAACTGTTCTAATTATGCTTTCCTGTGCTTTGTTTTATTTCTGTTTTGTTCAGGTTGACCTGCTTGTCCCTACAAAAATCACTGGCATAATTACCCAAGGAGCTAAAGATTTTGGTCATGTCCAGTTTGTGGGGTCCTACAAGCTTGCTTACAGTAATGATGGGGAGCACTGGATTATATACCAAGATGAAAAACAAAAGAAGGATAAGGTAAATCAAAGAGAAAATTTATATTTTGGTTGCAGTTACAGAGGACTACGTCTGTAGTAACTCCAGTGCTGGAAGCCTGTAGATTATTGCATGCTGTCTGCTTTATAGGGTTCCATATGCATAGGATCCCACAGATAAAAGTCAAGGTGAATAAAAAAGAGTTATATAACACAATGACATTCACAGTGCAGTAATAGCATACTTATCACTAGAATGCACCTGATTTAATGCTATTAAATATGGGACATAAAGCTTTACTGTTCTCCATTTATTGGAATTATTTCTTCCTTTAACTTTAAAGGAGAAGGTATATAAATAGCAGTTTATTTGTATATTCAAGAACAGCGTCTCAGTGCATATTTTGAGAAGTATGCCCTATTTTCTGTAATTTTCTGTAAAGCAAATCTTTAGTGTACCTCATTACCTAGTCATTTTGGATTGGTTTTTTTGGTTGTTTTGTTTTTTTTTTTTTCCTGGAAATCAATCACTAGGGTTTCAAATACCCAATGGAAAGATTATATTTTTATTACTCTATTAAATGAATACAAACCATAAAATGTTTCACAACTTCCTTTGCAAAAGTTTAATGAGAGATGCTGAGAAAGTATAGGTTTGCTGATTGATTTACCTGGAAGCATTTAACTTTCTCTTGTTATTTAGGATAATATTCATTATAACTTTCCTTTAAAATGTATAACACTTTTATACTGCAAATACCTGATTTCATAATATCAACTGTTCAGAAAGAGATTACAACATATGCATCATTTAAGGGAAATGTCAAGCAAGCTGACAAAGTGTGAATTATTTATTAAATATCTTAGTGGGATTATGTCTGATTGAAACAAAAGATACATTAATAAAAATACCAGATGGCTGATACGTCTGATAATGTATGTCTCAAATCTGGTGTTTTTAATGTCTGTATTCAGGGTGATTAATGTTCCCACTTGTACTTATTTTTTTTAGAATAAACAAAAATGCTTCAGTGAAAAGAAAAAACCACTTCATGTAGGTCAATTAAATTCATATTTTTGAAGTAATGAGAAAGCTATTGATATGTGTTGCATGAGTACAGGAAGATGTATTGATGAGGGTTTAGACAACAGCATCTCTTAAATGTCACTGATTTTAAATGATTGTTCAAGTGTACACACATTTATTAGGGGAAGGTGTCCTAAATTACTGGATTTAATATATACCTAACTATATGTGTGTCTGAATAAACATGTTGCATTTGAAAGATTATTATCTAAAAATTACACTGTAAAGTCCCACTCTTAAAAGTCAAATGGCAGTTCATTGTGAATTTATCCTTTACTGAGATTTTCCCACATCAAATTCTAAAGGATTTTAGATAGAGAAAACAAAACCAGTTGGTTTAGCTATCCCACTGAGAAGGTCCTGCCACCAATAATTATGGATGTGTCTAGTATAATTGGTTGTCAGATAGAAATTGGCAACAAACAACTCACCTTTTGTAGACATACCATAAATGCATTCAATAAAAATGACAGATAGTCATTTTAGTACTTTGTACACATCCCATTTTAAATCCCTGGTGTTTAAAAACAGAAGTAAAACATCTACTGTGGAAGAAATGTCTTCTGCAAGCCAAACTTATATTAGTGAACTGCTGCATTCATTTTACTGAAAAGGGGAATGAACATGTGTTTAAGTCTCTGGTGAGAAACAGAAACAGTCTCAAGCAAATCTAAAATAAAATGCACTCTCACTTAAAAGCACTATTCCAATCTACTCTTGTTTATAACATTTGCCAAGGCAATTAAATTATTTTAGCTTTCATCAGCAGCTGGATTGTTAGTTGTTATATGCATAGTCCGTTAGGAACAATGGAAAACTCTTAATCATTGTCTTATTAAAACATCTCACATCCCATATTAATTAGCACCCCTAAGAATAAAATAGATGCATCTCATTGTGATTCTTTAACAAATCAAGAGCAATTAAAAGCAGAGTGAGATCTCTATAAATTAGAAGTTATAAATTCTGAATTTAAATTTATACAAAATAAACAAACACAATCACTTGATATGAGTGTAGACCACAATCTTTGATACACAAACATTCATCTAAAATACTTCTATTATTTTAAATTTTTTTCATAAATCAAAATTCTAGAAAAGTAAGAAGTCTGATGGCAGAATCTGACATTCCAGAAATGTTAGCTGTCGGTCAGTGAACTTGACAAAACTTCATAGGAGGTAGGACTGGGAAGGATCTCGAGACAGCACCTAAACATATACCTCTTGACGTATGAAGAGACTGTCCTCTCTTCCCAACCCCTGTGAGGTCTTCTCAGCAGAAAATGGGTGTCAACAACCCGCAAGTCCCTTCCTGGCACCCGAGTTGTAGGTGCAAACAGTTCATTGTTAGAAGTAAGGCTTAATTTATTCACCTGTCCTTCACCTCATACAGTGCTCATATCCTGCACCATTCTCCATCAGGTTGTTATTTAAGGTGTTTGTAGAGACAGACAGTGATAAACATTCTATTATATAATCAATCTATTCCAGTGTTTAAATATCATTAAAGGTGGAAACGTTACTTATCCCTCTCCCTGCAGTACCTCTGTGCTGTCCTCAGAGAACACAAAAATGTGATTTTATCTTCCTATTTTCAGTTAGTTTGTTTGGGTTGAAACATGTTAACTTATTTCTTCTCAATTTCTTCTTGTGGAAAAAAATAATCTTCATTCTTTCAGTCTTTCCTCAAAGGGTATGTTTTCTCAACCCCAGATCATTCTGCTTGGACTAGCTCTTCCTGAAGTGTTGAAATCTTCCCGAGCTCAATGCAGCATTTCAGTCTTTAGTGCAGAACTAGTGCCTGCTCCATCATTCTCCATATTGTACCTGTGACATTGGTTATGACTTCCTAAGGTTTAGCGTGCTACTCACCATTATTAAATTGCACTATAGATCTTCTGCACATTTCTGCTATTTGTCAAGACCGCTCTGAATTTTGGTCCCACTTTTCAAAATGTGAAAAGCTTGGCCACATCTTCACTTTTAATAAGTAAATTTATTTCCATCATCCATTTAATTGCTGAGAATACATAAATTGTGTTCAGCCAGTGGCATGGTGCATCACCCAGTAAAACCTTCCAATTTGGCACCAAATCCTTCATCACCACCCCAGCTGGGTGTGTGTCAATGCAGTATGCTCTGGTGGGATTTGCACACTGAATGTGTTATAGGACCAGAAATTCTGGCTACATTTTGGCCTGTGTAGAGTGGAACAAAAATATACATGAAAAATAAAAACAGCCAATGTAAAAGCAATTATGTGCCTTATCGATGGGGAGCTGAAGAGAAATAACGTCACTTATCCTGCCTGGTAGTAATATCTTTGCACAGGATCCACAACAATTTCCTTAGCATAAGGTAGGATACAAGATTTGGCCCAAAATGGAAGAATAATGTAGAAGAAATCATGTTTTCACAGCAGAGTAAAACTCTCATGAAATGTTTCTTCTGTCCCCTGGAGATACAGAAGGGAGATGAAAGAGAGATACTGGCAGCTATCAACAGCAGCAAGCATAAGTTATTCATAATTTACCCTCATTCACTCTATTTATTTACTGAAAATCTTGATTTCTTCTATGAAGGATAGAATATATAGATTTCTTATCTCATCTGCAGATGATTTACTCATTCTGTACTCATCCTGTGATACTTGTACATTCAGTAGTACAGGAGAAAGATGTTTCCAAAAACTTTCAGCAAAAGGAAGACAGGATAAAATAAAACCAATTAATTTTAAAGTCCTAACAAAATACATCATTTTACATTCTGGAAAAGCAAACATAAAAAGAATGTCTTGGACACAGAAATTATGGAGATATTGGTAGACTGGTAGTAATGATTTGCAGATGTGATTTTAAAGCATATTGATGTAAGAGCTGAGAGTTTAATGCTGTCTGATGCTGAACATCTCACTGTTCAGCTGCTTGCAGGATGAGGCCTAATGTATCAGCAGATCTTAGTGAGTTCCTGAAGCTACTCACTTCTGCTTCTTCATCATTTGTGAAGTTATTTTACAAAGGAAAAAAATATTGGTATCTTGTACTCATAGAATCACAGACTGGTTTGAGTTGGAAGGGACCTTAAAGACCATCTAGTTCCAACCCCCCTGCCATGGGCAGGGACACCTTCCACTAGACCAGGTTGCTCAAAGCCTCGTCCAGCCGGGCCTTGGACACTTCCAGGGATGGGGCATCCACAGCTTCTCTGGGCAACCTGTTCCAGTGCCTCACCCCCCTCTCTGGGGAGAATCTCTTCCTGATATCTAATCTAAACCTCCCCACTTTCAATTTAAACCCGTTACCCCTTGTCCTGTCACTACAGGCCCTTGTAAAAAGTCCCCCCCAGCTTCCTTGTAGCCCCTTCAGGTACTGGAAGGTGCTATAAGGTCTCCCCAGAGCCTTCTCTTCTCCAGGATGAACAAACTCAACTCTCTCAGGCTTTCTGCACTATGTGCAGTCTGTAACTTTGATCAATCTGCAACAAATTTGTTTCAAAATTAAGGAAATATGCTGTTCAGTTTCATTCTTTGCACCATTTCAAATGGAAAAGCTGTTCCAAGAACCGTGGCTCCTGCAGTCCCTGTTTGGTTTCTCCTATTTTAATGGCCATACATCTGAGTTTCCATCTGTGCTGAACTTCTATGAATGCAGATGAAAAGGTACTGGCGGGGGTTGGTGGGGTGGGAAAAAGGCACGTCTATAAAAAAATGAAGCTTTTCTCATTTATTTTAAATAGTTTCAATGAGTTACTTGGAAAATATGAAAGCTTTTCCTGTTATCTTCAAGAAGCAAATTACATTGCAGGTCGCAAGTAAGAAGAAAATATATTTTAGGAAAAGGACCAGTGTTAATAGCTATCTTGTTTTTCTCAACTAGAGGTCAGTAGCTCACTATGCCTCCAAAGCTAAGGACATCCAAACCAAATTTGACCTTTTCTTTTTTTTTTAATCACATT